AGTCCACATGTGCTGCATGAAGGGAAACCCCAATGAATGAACAGAGGAGGAGAGAGAAGTCTGGCCCTCGGGGCGAGGACAGGGCAGGCGCCTGGGTCGGGGTGCTGCCCGGGGACCCCAGGGGCGCAGCTCAGAACGCGAACAGCCCCGGGGGCCCGGCCGGGAGCCAGGGTCCAGCCTCGCCGAACAAAGGCGGCGCAGGGCGGCCCGCCCGGGCGCCCAGGGGGCGGGGGCGCAGGCGCTCACCTCGTCGCCCCACTTGAGCACGTCCTTGTGCCGGTCCTTGACGGCGTGGTAGATGTGCAGGAACTGGAGGATCCCGTGCCGCCGCACGTGGTCGGCGTGGCGCTGGGTCTCCTCCCAGCTGAGCGGCGAGCCCTGGGACAGCAGCCCCATGGCCGCCCCCTCCTCCTCGCCCGGCTGCGGGCGCCGCTAGCTCCGCGCGCGGGGCGCGAGCCGGACACTCCGCACCCCGCAGAGGCCGGCGGGGTGGCAGCCGCTCCGCCCCGGGGGGCGCCCTCGGGTCGCCGCCGGTAGAGCGAGGGTCCCGCCCGCGCCGGCTCCCGGAGCGCGGTCCTCGGGCCCCGGGAAACCGACCCGCGGGTCCGGCGCCCCGCGCAGACACAGAGGACAGAAGGGGCGGCGGAGCGGCTGCCGGCCCGGTGGCCCTGCCGCTGGCCCGCGCCGGCTTCCGCCCCACTCCTGCTCCGAGGCAGCGGCGGCGGACCCCACGGCCGAGGGGCGGCGGCGGCGCGTCCCGCTTCTCTTTGCCGGTGTCGTGCACTGGCTTCTTCCTACTTGTGACCAAAAGGTGCGCGGCCACCGAGCATGCCCAGTCCCTCTGTCCGCGCACTCGCCGCTCCCGGGCAAGATCCGGCGCTCCGGGTTTTATAGACTACGTGCGGGGGCGTGGCAAGGGGGCGGGGCATCATGGGAGGCGTGGCCGAGGCGGAACCACACTAGGGGGTGTGGAGGAGGCGTGCGCTGGCGTGGTTAGGGCGGCATCAAGGGGGCGGAGCTCGCGGCGCCGGGCTGGGGCAATGCGGGGCAGGCCAGCTGCCTCGTTTAAGCAAATGAGCTATGTAAAATCCAGTTCCCAAATCCAAAAAGACAAATTCTGTTTGTTGGGGAAGAAATTTGACTATTTGAATTAGTTAAGAAACCATCAGGTTTTTTTTTTAGTGAAAAGGGCCGTACTTATAAAAACAGGGCGAAATAGATTTAAACAGGTGTGAACCTATTCCCCTAAATCATATATAGTATTGTAAGTTATTGATAGTTCAATAAAAAATAAAAAGAAAGCAGAGCTCAAAACAAAGAACAAACAAGCCAAAACAACAAACCAAAAACCACCACGGTGAGAGCAGCAGGGTATGTTAGGAAAATAGTAACTTGGGAATCAGATTAAACTCACGTTCAGTTTTACTCTCATTCACTCATTGAGAGCTTGGGCCAATTATTTTCACATGTGCATAAAGTTTATTTTTTGTAGATGTAGTAAGGGTGTGCACAAAGGAGATGTGCATAAAGTTAATGATCAATAAATAAGCCATTAATAATAGGAATCAGCTTGTCTACAAGCTTTTAGACAGATGTATGTTTTTGTATTCTCTATCTGATGACAATGTTTTTTGTTTGTTTGTTTGTACAGACAACAGCCATTGCAATAAAAGCAAATGTACCAGTCATTTGTTAACATCCCCAGATAATTTGAAAGGAGCATCTCTAAGTTTATTCTCCATATAAATCTAAAATTCATCCATTAAGTGATCAAAACAATGCATGTAAACTTGCCAGCAGGATAGATGATACTAGGAACAGCTGGGGTTGTTGACCCTATACTTGCAAGAAAAGGAAGGAAAGAAGTACCTCACCCCCAAGTAATTGTTTAATAAATGTTATGTGTTAACAAAGCAATGACAGATGGGGGGAATCGACAGCAACTAGGTCATACTTGTATTGGGGCCACAATGTGTGTAGTTATTGTACCACACACTACAAAATTAACAATTAGTAAGAACGCAGTAACTGCTCATATACATGATAGCAGGAGTCTTTTCTCCCAGACCCTTCATATTAGACGATTCACCTCAGCGCTTCGACATCAAAACCCAGAGTCTGGTAGTGCTTTCAGAAGGGGGTGTATGTATGTGTGGGGAAGGGTGGGGCATTTTAAGTTCAGATGCTTCAATCTTTAGCATACAGATAAAAACCAAGCCTCATTCTAATTTGTCAACTGCTGATTCAACAACTTCAGCTACTGGTTCAACACTTCCTTGAACCTTTCCCACTAATCTCACCTGATCTGTGTGGACCAGGTTCTCTGGAGTTTTTTGCTTTGTATTCTGTGCTTGATACATTCCTTTTATCCTTTGAGTTCCAACTACCCCTCTCTGTATTTTGGTTGCATTTGTACATGCCTGTTCATATATTATAATAGAGTCATTAGGAAAAAAAAAAACCCTCCACTTTAGATAGAGACCTCCTCTGAAATAGAGATGATTTCTGCCTTTTGTGTTTTTTTTTTTTTTTTTTTTTTAAAGATTTATTTGTTTATTTATTTATTTATACAAGCACTGGGTACAGTTAGAAGCGCGGGAGGGTGAGAGAATCCACCAGAGCCAGAGCGGGGAGCAGAGCAGGCAGAAGGACCGAAGTACACTGCTGAGGGGAGCAGCGGGCGGCAGGAGAGGTCTGCGCGCCATGTGGGACCCTCCTCTGGTGGCCGGGGAGCAGCCGGGGATCGAACCTGTGCTGCAGAGGCTGCCGGCAGCATCACAACCCAGCGCTCAACCGCTGCGCCACAGGGGAGGCCCCCTTTTGTGTTTTTAATTCTGGAAAAGTCCATTGTATAAATGTTAGCTTCCTGTGGAAGGCATATTGTGAAATGCGGGAAAACAGTGTAGGTCATTGTTTCACATTCAGGTGGGGGGTCCTATTTTGTTAATCTTATCTCACATTTGCAACCACTTGCATTGTTTCACACAATCACCATTATCCTGGAGTGGCTACTGAGCATTTGAGTAAGTGTGGCTTATTTGACTGACAAACTGAATTTCGGTTTTATTTTAATTCACTGAACACAAATTTAAAAAGTGATATTTCATTTGGTTATTGGACAACTTTCAAGTAAATTCAGAAAAGGTCGGAAATTTTTTTCAGTTATTGACTTTACGAAATCTAAATACAGAATAAGTACTTCCAATGAAAATTTAGTGACTGGGCCTCCCTGGTGGCGCAGGTGGTTGAGCACTGCGCTGTGAAGCTGTCCGCAGCCTCTGCAGTGCAGGTTTGAGCCCGGCTGGCCAGGGAGATACTACATGACATGGCAGACCTCTCCTGTCTCACCCGCTGCTCCCCTCAGCAGTGTCTTCCATCCATCTGCCTGTTCTGTTCCCTGCTCTGGCTCTGGTGAATCCTCTCACCCTCTGGTGCCTCTGGCCTTTACCCCAACCCTTGTATCAAAATAAATAAATCTTAAAAAAAAAAAAGAAAGAAAATTTAGTGACTTAGGAGATGTGCTGTGTGTGACACACATATCAGGTTCAAAAACAGTACAAAAAAAGGTCAATATCTCAGTAACTTTATATTGATTACATCCCGATATAATAGTATTTTGGATATGTTAAGATACATTGTACAACTTAAGTTTTAATTCGCTTGTTTCCTTTTGGTGGTTAATCGAAAATTTAAGATAACATCTGTGACTCTCATTCCACTTAATTGAAGCAGTGAAGGTGGGATCTTTATATTTCATAAAGCCCAAAATTCCCTCACACAGTTGCATTTCCTCACAATACCAAGTAGCTGGTATTGGGAGTGTTAGTTTTAATGAGGAAACAGGGATATGCATAGTTCAATAAGCGATTAAGTTGGAGTCTAGGCAAACTTCTACGCCAAACTGAATGTAGTGAGAGTTAATACCATAATTAAATCACTGGGCCCCAGATTTCAGTTACATTCATGGAAGGGGCCCTCTATCATCCTACTCTCCAACTGACACAAGAAAGTCCCTGGAGTCTGGACAATGCCAAATAGGGTGGCATCACCTGGAAATTAAGTCAAATGAAAACTACGGCTTCCACAGAGCCTTTCCCAGTTGTTCCTCCAGGGGTGGGGTAAGGAGGAAAATAGGAGGATAATCCACCACCCATCAGCGAAATCGTACTGAACAACACTCATTCATGTGATCGTGCATTTTATTTTTTTTTTTAAGATTTATTTTTATACAAGAACTTGGGTACAGGCCAGAGATGGGGGGGGTGAGAGGATTCCCCAGAGACAGAGTGGGGAGCAGAACAGGCAGATTGACCGAATGACATTGCTGAGGGCGAGACAGGAGAGGTCTGCCGCGCCATGTGGGTCGCTCCCTTGCAGGCCAGGGATCGAACTCGTGCTGCACAGGCTGTGGATTGCTCCACAGGTTGTGTCTTAAGCCCTGCGCCACCAGGAAGGCCCGACGACCGTGCATTTTAAAGTCTACTCCTCAATTTCATTCCCCAGATGGTACCCAGGAATGGAAGTGGTTTTTCAGCGGACAGCCCCGTATGCACCTTTTGGGGCTTCATCGATAGCTAAAGGAAAAAAGAAAAATGCTCATCTCTTGCAGCACCAGTTCTTCCCGGGGCCTTGCCCAAAGCCAGAGTCCCACCCTCACTCCGAGCAAGAGCAAGAACACTCCACGAAACCCACCTCCAGCCAGAGGCGGCCCGAGCACCGCCAGCTGCGCTCCCAGCGCCCGGGACCGCCACAAGCCCCGCCCCCTGGGTCGGCTGGAAAACCCGAACCTGGGCATCCAGCGGCCGAGGACTCCGCGCAGCCGCGCGGCGGAGCTGAGCATGCTCCGAGGGTCGGTCGCAGGAGGAAGCGGCGCGGGCCGCGGGCGCTGCACGCCGCGCCGTTGTTGTGATACAGCCCCCGCCACGTGACGGCGCCGGGCCCGCCCCCCGGCCGGGGCCGCCTCCCCGTGACTCAGCACTTTGTGCGGCCGGGGCCCGGAAGGCAGTGCTAGGCGGGGATGCTCTGGGGCAAAGTCTGCAGCCGCCGCGCGTGAGCCTGGGGCTGCCGCTCCGCTGGTGTTACACGGTGTTACACCAGACGTTGAAGACTCGCTGATTTTCGGACTTCCCAGCAAGAACGAGAAAGTATATCATTTCCTTGTGATCATGCCTTTCTCATTTTCCTTGAATCTTTGGCTCCGCTGAGAGCTGGGAGCAGAGATCAAAGGAGGAAAGCCGAGGGGCTGTGCTTAAGCATCTGTGAGAGAGGAACTTGGAGACTCAAGCCACTTGCGGTCACCCCTCTCAGCCTGTAATGTTTTTTATGGCCTAAGCATCCCCTACATGACCTCCCGGTGGTCTCGGTAACCATCTGGCACAGTGCTTTGAAATTAACACTTTGATCTGGAATCCATAGAACAACAGTTCCTGCTTGTTGCCACATATTTACAGATGAGACAACTGGGATGCAGTAATAGTGCAAAACAGGTAGTGGCTTGAATTTCACTGTGATTTCAGAACCTCTGCACTTTATGCACCTCACTCACCAGGTGAAGCTGAGGGCCTGCTGCCTTGTACTCTTCCTGGATCTTGACACCACCTCCTCCTTTGCCCTACTCCCAAGATCTCTGCTCTACCTTTGAGGTGCATAAAGTAATCTTTTACTTATTCTGTAGTAACAGTTATTTTTTAACTTCAGTGTGCAAGGGATAAGATACAAATGCTGTAAAATGGATTTTCCTCTCCACAATTGCATTAGACTTGAAATTTGATTTAATCATGTTGACGAGGGTCTTAGGATAGAACAGCAGTAGCCAAAAGCCTGGGGTTCCTACCCACGCCCAAAGAATAATCTGTTGGGTTAATGGAAGCAAAGTTGTGTTTATCTTCAGGGACCCCTTCATCTTCACCTGTTCAAATGAGTCCAAGCCACACATTCTCTGATGCCAATACTACTAAAATGGTTGTATAAACCTAGGTAAAGAGGTAACTAGAAGTAAGCTCAAATTATCAGAAATGGAGTATAATCAGGAATAACAGGGGAGTTGTAATTTGGGAAACCCATACTGTAGTGAACTACAGGTGAGTCCCTTGTAGGGTGTGGAGGGTTCTGTATTTGTGGGCAAGGAATAGAAGGAGGGGGAGGCCCAACTAGAGCCGAAGCAGTAGGTTTATTGGCTTGAAATAGGGAGAGATTCTTTTCTGAAGTTCACATGTCAGGAGATAAATTTCCTCTTCTGTAAATAAGGCGTATAGGGAAAATCAGTCTCGTTCAGAGGGCACATGCATAAATTGTTCGTTTTGTATCCTCTGGCTCCATTTTTTTAAAGATTTTTTTAAAGTTTATGTATACAAGAACTGGGGTATAGGCCAGTGGTGTGGGGGGTGAGAGGGTGCAACAGAGACAGAGTAGGGAACAGAACAGGAGGATCTACTGAGATACACTGCTGAGGGGAGCAGTGGGTGAGACAGGAGAGGTCTGCTGCTTCACGTGGGTCAGCTTCCTGTCTGGGATCGAATTCATGCAGCAGTGGTTGGCTGTTGTTAGCTTAATAGCACCTGAGACTTTAACTCCTGTGTCTCCAGGGAGGCCCACCTCTGGTTCCATTTTATGTTGAAATCCTTTCACAGTTGAAAAAGTGCAAATCTTTTGTATTGCTTGTTTTAAAAACATGCTGCTATGGTGTGATGTGCTATTGTCATTTTAAGTAAAAAAAATTTTTTTCATTTTGTTTCTAAAGTCAATTTTTCATTCATGAATTTAAAAAATATATAAAAGTGCTCATTTTCTTGTAGTCTGATAAGTGAAAGGAAGGCCTTATTTAAGATAGAAAAGCTCGAGTGTGTAAAGAAGCTGGGTAGAAGTCAAAAGAGGGTGAGATTATAGATGTGGAAGTGAGAAAAGATGCCTTAGAAGTAAGATCTCTCTCGGGAAACATGACTTGATGAGGTCCAGAACACATGTGAAGTGGTGAGCATTTTCCCTAAGAGTGTCATTTTCTTCCTGTGAGATCCTAGAGAAGATTAGGATGGGAGGACCCATGTATTGGGATAGGCAAGGTGACAGCAGGGTCTGTTTTCCTCATGGTCACTCACTGGAATACGGTTAAAGAAAATAGTACAGAGAGAACACAGTGCAGTGTACCTCGTACCCATCTTCAGTACGTGACTAATCTTGATGCAGGTATATCCCTTCCCACTACTTTAAAGCAAATTTCCCTGGAGAATGATCTCAGGTAGTTAGTGGAGAACTGAGGAAACAAAAAATGAATGTAAAGGATGATTTGAGTAGCTGGTGCAAAGAGTGATGATCTAGGAAGTTGGGGAGGTATGAGCAACAGGCTAATCTATTACTGGAAGTCAATTTCCTTCATCCTGAAATTGGAGATGGTTGTTTTTATTTCAGCATTGGCAGCTGTTGTTCTAAATGATGGGGCCTTGTATTTGAAAACAAAACAAGTTAAAAACCATGCTTGCCACATGTAGTGTTTCACAGTGTAGTATTTCACAAGTGTTTCACGGTGGCTGGCCTGGGTGATTACTGTTGTCAGAGTAGGCCCACTGGCAAGAGGTGAGTAAGGTCTTTAAGGGCATATATTTACCTTTTTAAAGAACCTAATTGACTCTCCACCCATTTCCTCCCCTTGCACTTATCTCAGTTCACATTAGTAATCTCCATTTAAGCAGTCAACAAGTAATTGAACTTTGGAACACTGTAACCCATCATCTGTGGATGATGTGCCGTGATAAAGTGCTAAACATAATTACATCTATGTAGAAAGGCAACTGTACTGTGCTGGATATTGAGCTATTTTGCTTGTATTAGAACAAGTTCCTAAAAGAAAAAAAAAAAAATCATTCCCAAAGGTATTTTTCCATTCTCAATACTCTGCCACTTATTTAGTTCGTAAGCTAAAATGTAGTAGGTACTTTTGGGTGAAAAAAATCAACTCCTCTAAAAACAACTTATCCTACAATGCACAAGACAGTCCCACACAGAGTTCTCCATTTAAAAATATCAACAGTCCTAAAGCTGACAAATCTTGGTCTACAATCCCAGGATTAACTTGTATGTATTTACAAGGGTTTCTCAGGTCATCACAGTGATTAGTTAAGAACTGATTATGTGCAATCATCACTGTCATTTTATTTTTTTAAAGATTTATTTTTATTTATGCATACAAGAACTGGGGTACAGGCCAGAGGTGTGGAGGGTAAGGGAATTAACAAGAGACAGAGTGGGGAACAGAACAGGCCGATCAACTGAAATACACTACTGAGGAGAGCAGCAGGCAAGTCAGGAGAGGTCTGCTGCACCATGTGGATCTCCTCCCAGGCTGGGGATGGAACTTGTGCTGCAGTGGCTGTTGATAGCTTCATAGGTTGTGTCTTAACCCGTTGCGCCACCAGGGAGGCCCCATCACTGTCATTTATCTGCAGCTCCCAAATACACAATACGCACAGCCATCTAGTGTATCACTAGTCTCTAGTGTACTGGTGAAGTTCATGATGGAAAGCATTTAGGAACCCTTCTTTAGCCTGTTTCTGTTTTCTTAATGGTCACTTACTGATCCTGTGTGCTGTGCTCTCTGTCTGTCTTTTTTCCTGTTCATGTGAGATTAGTATATTATCAACTTTAATATTAAACTCAGAATTCTTTTTTTTTAAATAAAGATTTATTTATACAAGAACGGGGTACAGGCCAGATGTGCAGGAGGGTGAGAGAATTCACCAGAGACAGAGTGGGGAACAGAACAGGCACTCTGACTGAAATACACTACTGAAGAGAGCAGCGGGCGAGACAGGAGAGATCTGCCCTGCTATGGAGGTAGCTCCCAGCCAGCCGGGATCGAACCCACACTGCAGAGGCTGTGGATAGCTTCACAGTGCTACGTTCAACCACCTGCGCCAACAGGGAGGCCCAGAATTCTTAATGCCCCTGCTTATGTTTCTTAAAAATCCAATTATAGAGACTAAAAACTCATTAGGTCTCTCAGAAGCTCTGTTACTATGGGACAGAGACCATGGAGCACTAGAAAATGCCTTGGTTGACTCCAGTATTAGAACTGAGTTAGCATCCTTCTAGCCCTTATAGCATCTTTCTGCCCCTCCTAGCTCTTTAACTTTGGACTGTGCTTCAATTTCATCATCTATCTAGTGTGGGAAAGGGAGACTTTGCTGAGTGGTTGTAAAGACTGAAAAGAACATGTAGGACATCTGGTACATCTTTGGGGGTAATTAGATGGTAAATATTTTGCATCCATCAAGGCAAGGTAGGAAACTTGGGAGACTCAACACCTACTAAACTCAAGTTCAAGTGAACTTGCAAAATACCAGCCATGGATGCCTCTGCTCTGCGATGCTAAGAAGTGGTAGACTTGCCGAGACATACACTCCTCGGACTTACAAGCCCAGCACTTGTAAACACCAGGGTTAATAGTTCCTGGCCACTAAACCTACCTCACGAACACTTTACTTTTTAAGATTTTGTGTCTGCTGTCAGTCCTCTTTCTGCAAATCCGCCCCCCAACCCCCCCGGCAGAATTTCACTGGCTCCTCTAGCTTCAGCCTCCCCAAGCAGCAACCTGGACAAAAAAAAAGAGCTTGCTCATGAGCAGCAGCCTCCATGTTCTCAGGAAATGATTCTGTGGGACTATGTATCAAGGGGGCCCATCACAGCTCATAAGGCAGGTGGGTCTGTGAGTTCACCAAAAAGAGAGTTTCCAGGATGCACAATTTGGTGTGGGCAGCTCTGCTGTGGCCCAGCCCAACCATCAGAGGTTGTGGCCCAGCCCTACCCTTCAGAGGTATGGTCAGCCTGTGGAAGCTGAGGCTTATAGATTAGGAAGCATAGTCAAGGCCACACTTGTAAACGGCAAGTAAACAACAGAATGAGGACTTGATTACAGATCTGTTGCCTTCAAAGTCCAAGTTCTCACTCCACTTTTCTAACCATGCTAAAAACAAAACCAAACCATATGCACGTAAATACCTAATTTTTTTTTAATAGGCCTTTATGTGATTTGACTGGAGACAGGAGCTTTATGGGGCGAGGGAGCAAGCATTTCCCACACATCTGTACTGCATCTGAGCTTTACATCAACAATTTTTTTTCTAAATTTCCTAACAGTTTTAACTTGTATCAGTAAACTTGTAGTAAATAGCCTTAGTATGTTTTGCAAATTTAATTCACTCTTTCACAATTTTCTCTCTTTACCTCACTGTGAACTGGAACTAAGAATTAGACTCAAAGAATGAGCCCAGGGTCTCTCCGGTGGCGCAGCGGTTGAGCGCTGGGTTGCAAAGCTGCCCTCAGCCTCTGCAGTGCCGGTTCGATCCCCGGCTGCTCCCCGGCCAATGGAGGAGGGTCCCGCATGGTGCGCAGACCTCTCCTGCCGCCTGCTGCTCCCCTCAGCAGTGTACTTCGGTCCTTCTGCCTGCTCTGCTCCCCGCTGTGGCTCTGGTGAATTCTTTCACCCTCCCGCGCT